GGGCGCAGGCGGGCGGGTGGGGATAGTGCCCGGCGTCCGAGCCCCAGGCCGGGTCCTGAGCGCCGCGCGGGCCCCGCGCCGCTGCTGCCGCGCCATGGCGGAGACTAAGATCATCTACCACATGGACGAGGAGGAGACGCCGTACCTGGTCAAGCTGCCGGTGGCCCCCGAGCGTGTCACGCTGGCCGACTTCAAGAACGTGCTCAGCAACCGGCCCGTGCACGCCTACAAATTCTTCTTCAAGTCCATGGACCAGGACTTCGGGTCAGTCGGCCGCAGGGCCTGTGTGGGCAGTGGGGGCCTTGCTGGCGCATGTCCGGTGCCAGCCCCGCTGGCTGAACGTGGACTTGGATGTCGGCACCTGTTTGCGCGGGGACAGGCTTTAGGGGGGGTCCTGGGACTGTCAGCGAGCCCCCTAGGCACTCATGACAGTGCTGCGTCTTCGCGCCTGTGTGGGACACGGGTCCTGGTCTGAGCTTGCACCTTGGTGGCCCCTGTCGAGCCTGGTGTGTGTACCTACCTACCTGTCTGTGCCTAGCTATGGGCCTTGGGGCCCTCACTACTAGCCCGGGAGGCTGAGAGCTCTGGACAATGGGCAGGTGGGTTCCTGGCTTCTCTACCACCCTTTGGTCTGACCCTTATGCCCTGCCAGTCAAAGTTCACTGACCAGGGCTGCCCTCCTCCCAAGTCTCACATTGGCCCATTTCAGAATCAGGGGCTCTTTGAGAGCTCAGTAATGCTTCACCTCCTGTCTCAGGCCAGCTCTGTCTGCCAACATTCCTTCAGTGGTGGGTGCTCAGGAGCCCGGGCTGGCCTGGAGGGTTTGCAGTTCATGGGAACTGGGGCCAGGGGACTGTCAAGGCAGAAGGGAATTGGTGCCGGGATAGGGCCCTAGTACCCAGTGGATCCCTAGTTGGGTGAGGGGACAGAATGGTAGATGGGACAGGGACAGTGATCTGTCTGGTAGGGCCTGTGGAAGTTTCCAGAGGTTCAAGACAGCTTCCCTTGCCCCTCCTCTGGGGGGACCGTGACAGGGCAGAGGTCAAGGGTCGCTAGGGACCCTGGATTCACTCCACCCACCTCAGCACCCTGCCCTGAGATTCCTGACTGTCAGGCCTCTGTCCCTATTGAACCACATAGCACTTGCAATTTTGGGAGCAGCCCAGGCCATCTGCTGACTGAGGCCAACCTCTAGGCCGGCTCTCTGCGCGGGCCACGGCAGAGGTTGTCCCTGGCGAGAGGATTTCCCACTTATGCTGATCTGGCCCTCTGAGCCAGGGAGCAGGAGGCTGGCTGTTCGTTCGGGCCTGACCCGGCACAGCCAGGGTAACTCGAGTCCCCAGCTCACCGCGTGAGTGTGTGTGTGTGTGTGTGTGTGTGTGTGCTGAGGGGTGCTGTCCTCGGAGGCCTTATGGGCCAAGCAGGTGTGCCTGGCCATCCTTAGGCAAGTGGTGTCCTTGTGTGTGACTGTGTCTTGGGACTTTGACATTGAGGCCATTTCCTGAGTTCTGTGGTTGCACAGCCCCTAGGCAGTCCCAGATCAGATTGTCAGGTCAAGCCTGGGCTGCTCTGTGACCTAAGGGATGTTTGGACAACTAGACTCTCTAGCCCCTACCCTCCACCTACACACATAACCCCACCACCAGGGAGAAGTAGAGAGGTAAGGTGTGTTCTGGGCAGTCTCTGAAGACTGGGCACTTCTGCCGGCTCAGGTTATGTTTGGGCAGGAGGCGGTTTTTTACCGAGTCTGGGCCAGCCTGCCTTCCCTCATTGGGCAATCTCACATACTCCTCTGGGCCTGGGCTGCTTTAGCTGTGAGCATTAGGTATATAAAAAGGTGCTTTTTAAAATTTTTTTTTAAGAATTGTTTTTATTTACCTTTATTTATTTATTTATTTATTTATTTATTTGAGAGATTCTTGCTGTAGGGCACGTGCGCTCACCAGAAAGACAGAGGCAGACAGACAGAAAGCGAGAAATCACCCCCC